CTTTTATTTCTATCTTTTATTTATCAAATTCATATTTATGGAATGTCTGAAGCAAATGGATTAACGTGATTCGAAAGAAGTGACACCTGAGCCTTATAAGATAGGCATCAGTTAATAATTGATCATTATTAATGAGGAGATAATTTTCCAAGAAAAGGTAATAAAATGGTGTTCCGGAAGTTCGGCGAACGTGACGTGCCAACGCGCAAGCTGCATAAAATGTGCGCGTTGTCGATCGTCGTACATTCGTATGGCAGGTGCCAATAAAAATCGGTTACGTCTTATTACGGGTGACCTAGATTTCGGCCGGAGCCACGAGCGCAATGAGCAGCCCTTGTAATCTTAATAAGGTGATCCGCGCGGACGTACGTGTCCCGTTCGTATAACGTTTGAATAATCTCGCGAGAGAAAATAAAGAGGTGGACGTTCTCGGAAACGGAATACCCGTGGACACGCGACCGGCATCTTTCCACTTTCGCTCCCTGCTATTTTATTAAACCGATGCTTAATGCACGCCCGAAACTCGCCGGCTTTCACGATTCAGAGATACGAACGAAACGTGCACGAATATCGTTCGCTGATCACGAATTGGACATTGGCTTTCCGCGTGTGTGTGAATCAAATGTATAAAAGATTTTATTCACTCACCCTCCTCGATGAAACCACGCGAATTCTCCTTCCCGGTGTCCATCCATCTCAGAAAACAACGAACACCAACTACAGATACAAAAACCATGCTTTATTACTATCATAAAAGTGTAACATACACGATTTGAAAAAGAGTCGCAAATCGGCTTGCAAACGGAATAACCAAATGATCTCCGATTGTCCTCCTGTTCAAGAATACAATTTCTACACCTTTATTGTATCGTATTTCATTGTCAGACATTATACGGGATTCGCGAGACATGTTTAGCGCTATAAAAATGTAATCAAAGTTATTATATTACCTGATTCAAACGGAATAAGAACTCTCGTAATTCGTAACACACTTTCCACCGTACGAACATGGGGACGCCATCTCAGAGTGAGAAAACTAGAACCGCGTTATTCGCACGACGGCATTGCACTACCATCTATCGACGAAAGATCGGAACTAAAAGCGAGATTGACACAATTGGCACAACGCGAGTGTAGCCCTGGGGATTCCGCTGGAGGAACGAGTCAGCGTAGTAGGGTGTTATTCGGGTGCATCGTAAAGCAAAGATATCAAAAATGAAAGTGGCCTCGTGATATCACCCGTAAAAAAAAGAAGCTCGGTACACTTATCGTGTTCCTTTACGCGACTCGAATATCAGGCGCGACGCGCTACATCGACATGGAACATCATGCTATTGTTTTAACGCTACCGTGAGAATACGAACGCCCGAACTGAGCGATCAAATTTTTGTTTATCGCGTAGATATCAATAGGCATCAGGTAGCTGGAAAGCTACCCAAAATACTGCAGGAACACCATCGAATTCCTCGATCGTACGTCGTTAATCATCGTAATCATCATACAGTGAGTGTCAAAGTGCCGAGAACACTTGCACAATCCCACACTCGATTATTAACAAACTATTAGTTGTTAGCTACTCGCAATTTTTTCATGTACCTTTTCGAATCTTCTCATGTTCCCCTTGTATATACAGTTGGACCTAATGACGAGTTTTACAGCACAGCTGATATGTTCTGAATACACAGATCAGAGAAGATCAGGGGGCCTGGTACGGGCACGTTCCAGAGACGTGGTGGTCGGTGAATGGTGTTGCAGATAGATTCGGTGTGGGGTTGGGCGTCACCCCCGCTGCGCCTCCAGCTAGGGGGGTCTAGGGGCGCCTCGGGGAGAGCGACCGCGGGCGCCCCGTCCTCGCAGAGGATGGGTGAAATGGTCGTGGAACGCGCGCCTTCCCCAGCCTGCCTCAGTCACACCTCGGAAAAGCACCCACGTGCCACGCTCACGGAGCTCAACGTTCTACGTCGTCACCGAGAACTGTGCGACGTCGTCCTCAATGTTGGCTCGAGAAAGATCTTCGCACACCGCGTTATACTGTCGGCGTGCAGTCCTTACTTTAGGTAATTGCATTACACGTCGCGCGAAGGAACACAAAGAGATCTTGACTCATTGAAATTGATTTAAATGCTCTTGTACAGAGCGATGTTTACTGGGGAGCTGGCGGAATCTCGACAAACTGAAGTGACGATACGCGACATAGACGAGATGGCGATGGAACTGTTAATAGACTTCTGTTACACGTCTCACATAATCGTCGAGGAAGCGAACGTTCAGACCCTCCTTCCAGCAGCGTGCCTTCTCCAACTAGCAGAGATACAAGATATATGCTGTGAGTTTCTTAAGCGGCAGCTAGACCCATCCAATTGTCTAGGTATACGAGCGTTCGCGGACACCCACTCTTGCCGCGAACTATTACGGATCGCAGACAAATTCACGCAGCATAACTTTCAAGAAGTACGTTTGCCACGTATCTTGCGGATTTTGTTTTGTAATAAAGTCTATTGATCGTTGAATATAAAATTTTCTCTATTTTTCGACCAGGTAATGGAGAGCGAAGAATTTCTTTTGTTACCTGTTAGCCAATTAGTAGATATTATTTCATCGGACGAGCTGAACGTTCGGACGGAGGAGCAAGTATTTAGTGCCGTTATGAATTGGGTGAAGTACAACGTGACCGAGAGAAGGCAGCATTTGGCGCAAGTTCTTCAGCACGTACGACTTCCTCTCCTTAGTCCGAAATTTTTAGTCGGAACCGTGGGCTCTGACCTTTTGGTTCGATCCGACGACGCGTGTAGAGACCTAGTGGATGAAGCAAAGAATTACTTGTTGCTCCCGCAAGAGAGACCGTTGATGCAGGGACCTAGAACGCGGCCTAGGAAACCGACCAGACGCGGCGAAGTTCTGTTCGCCGTCGGAGGCTGGTGTTCCGGTGACGCGATCGCGAGCGTCGAAAGATTCGACCCTAACACCGCGGATTGGAAGATGGTCGCGCCGATGAGTAAACGAAGATGCGGCGTTGGAGTAGCTGTGTTGAACGACTTGTTGTACGCGGTCGGTGGCCACGATGGACAAAGCTATTTGAACAGCATCGAACGGTACGATCCGCAAACGAATCAATGGTCCTGCGACGTCGCACCTACCACGTCGTGTAGAACTAGCGTAGGAGTTGCTGTGTTGGACGGTTTCCTTTACGCGGTAGGTGGTCAGGATGGCGTCCAATGTTTAAACCACGTTGAAAGGTAACAATCACTTTTTATTACCTCTACAAAAATAAAGATTCCCGTTGGTAGAAACATTTATTGTTGCGCAGGTACGATCCTAAAGAAAATAAATGGTCCAAGGTATCACCAATGACCACTAGAAGGCTTGGGGTAGCTGTCGCTGTGCTAGGTGGTTATTTGTACGCCATCGGTGGTTCCGATGGGCAGTCGCCTTTAAACACAGTAGAAAGATACGATCCAAGGCAGAATAAATGGTCTCAAGTATCGCCTATGTCTACGAGACGTAAGCATCTAGGCTGTGCCGTCTTTAATAATCTAATTTATGCTGTTGGAGGACGAGATGATTGCATGGAACTTTCGAGCGCGGAACGTTACAACCCTCACACGAATTCTTGGAGTCCGATAGTTGCTATGACCTCAAGAAGAAGCGGAGTAAGTGTTGCATCATAAATGAACGTACGATACGTCTTTCTAGCCAATGAGATAAAATTGTTGCTTTGAACTTCTGCAGGTGGGTTTAGCGGTAGTGAATGGTTTGTTGTATGCAGTGGGTGGATTCGACGGGACTGCCTATTTAAAAACAATCGAAGTGTACGATTCGGAACAAAATCAATGGAAATTGTGTGGTTGTATGAATTATAGAAGACTCGGTGGAGGTGTGGGAGTAATGCGTGCTCCGCAAACTGAGAACTACATTTGGTAGCTCAGGCCCCCCTCTTCAGCCCAATCGGCTGAAACTCCCTTAACTCCTCTTACACCGATCACTGCCGTAACGCCTGTAACTCCCCCGGCTCCTCTATCGGTTCCTGTTGTTATAAGTAATACTAGAAAACGCTACCGCCGATCGATGAGCATCATATAAGTAACACTTTACAAGACTTTGCCTTTCTAAAGATGAAGTCACTTTTATCCTCAACTATCCTCCGTACTATGTTCTTTCATCAGCTTTATTTCAGCTAATCCACTCGAAATCGCGATCGTTCTTAGTTTAATATGAAATAATTGAAGAGTTCTGGTGTTTCTCTCGGACTCGCGATTTATACGGAATGAGTTCTGTTGGTTGCTAATATGTTAACGCTCTCGGACTCTGCACTCTTCGATTACTTCATGCGATATAGGGATGTATATTTTCCTGCTGGTTAAGAAAACTTATTCTTTGATCATGTTTATATTGCCGCCGTCCTCTGGCGTTTCTTATATAAGACTTTGTAAAATATTCCTCTTATGTTATTTATACATTCTGTTATGCATTACGAAATACTGATTCCAGTCGTTTTAGACTTAAATATTGTATTATTGTAATTTGTTTTTTTTTTAATTAGTATAATTGTGTACGCTGTGAATATTTAGGACACAGAGAGAAAGGCAAAATCTCTTTAATACATATTCTCGAACACTTCGCAATACTCAATGCCTTAGGGACGCTACCGGGTCCCTTTGATTCAGTTTCCAGTGAAACGCTCGCAGCTTCCGCGTTTTCACTGATTCCAATGAAAACCAAGAGAAATTTTTCAAATCCGCATTGAAAAGACAAACTTCGTTATGGAGGGCTGTTGCTGTGCACCCACTGATTAAAAAAAAAGGAAACAAAAATAAAGATTTGAATCAAACAAATTGTTTGTCTCGATAGTATACTTTCTACATGTATCGCATTTCTTATGAATAAGACTGAACCAAAACCAAAAGGAAACTTGTAAAGTAAATAAACTAAACGAAACGTTTCACATTTTTGTTTTTACGAAACAATATATAAAGAAGATGATTTCTCACTGAACATGCACACGCTTCTTCTTCGTTCTTTCAATCTTTGCAAAGCGCAAAGAAATAAAGGCACAAATCTACGCCTGGTTCGAAGTGAAAGAGGAGGTAGTCTTATTGTACAAAATGGTAATAGGGATCACCATCCAACAATTTCATAATGTGACGTTTGTGATAATAATTAATAAGAGTTAGTAAATTTGATTGATTACGAGCAATATTTTATGGAGGCAATGAGCGGGAAGTGAAAGGGAAAAGAGCTGAGATGGAAAGTTTACGAATCGCTAGTTCTGTTACATTTATGAGATTGTTGAAAATATAAAGAATACACGTGTCTAAATATAAGAATATACTGTCTACATGTTGTAACTAATATCTACGTAACTGGTTACAAGATATCACTGTTAGACATTGTACAGACTCCTAACGTGAAAACGATTAAATTATGAATTAGAGACTCGAAGTGGTACAAATTCTAGTAATCACTAAACAATTAAAGTTCAAATAAGTGTTCAATATCAGATTTAATTTGCAGATAACTAAAAGCCACATAGCTGGAACACGTAATTTCATTAATTTTGATTTTTATCAAGCACGTCGCTTGATGAAAAATATAAATTTCATTGTTTGAAGCAGACAATCAAAATGAACGAATCGTACGAATATTTATGACAACGCTGAATTCTACTCTTTGCCGAAGATCATACATAATTCCCCGCTTTTTTTTGTATAGAGATCTTGGTATAATCATTTTCAAATGAAAAACATATAAATCTGTCTTCACTATTCTCTTACTATAATCGATTTGTACTGGGAACAAGCACAGATTTGTATAGACTCTTATATAAACTGCCTTTTCTAAAACCATTGAAGATAATAAAAATGATTTACTTTTTAAATATTTTTTGTCACAACTTCGGAAACTCGGCATGTTCATCTTAAAAATTGTAATCGTACATTAAAAGTATTTTCTGTATTACACAAGACTTGAAATGAGACGACACATATAAAAAACAAGTTCTAATAGAAAATGATGAAAGATTGACTCTGTAGGAACACCTTTTGCTTATTCATTTTTATAAACTCCATTTGTGTAAAAAAAAAAGTAGAGCTGTTTTTGTATATATACGTCGTAGCAAAAGTCTGTTAAACGTTAATGAAAGAAATATATTGTTGACACGTAGAGAGGAAAAATTCATTACTATAATAAATCCCGTTATATGAATGAATAATATCGGAAAAATCTTAGTTAAACATCAAAACGCCTTCAAAAATCCCGCTTATATTAACCACGAGAGCGTTGTCTCGTGCCGCACTGCGAATCACGTTTATTTGCATATTAAATGATGAATTAAAAAACAACTCTCCTTGCTTTAAATAAAAAATAGGGAGCTGAAGTATTAAATATCTTAAAATGACATTAATCTGTCGCATACCATTACAGAATTCTCAGTACTGCCTACGTACGATGCCCACGATACCCGATAAGACTGCTTGCATCTTTAATGAATGCACAAGAAACATTCTCAGTTGAATCGTTCGTCTCACGTTTAATTTTTAAATAAATCAGCACTAATATCGATAAGATTAGAATGTACAGGCATGATTAGATCGAGTACTCACTGTAAATATGAATAAATAGTTCGAATCACCCGGTGATCGTACAGTTCTTCCGAACGAGTGCTATAATTTTTCGATTCCACGATGTATTTTCTAACGCAAATACTTTTAATGTGTTTGTCGGTTTCCTATTTTGCGATCGGTGGTCCGGAAGAAGAGCACGGTGTAAAATATGCAAGCAAATGCGAAGGTAATAATATATGCTTAACTCAGGCTGACAGATTTTTGTAAACACATTAGTAAACGTTGTTCCTTTTAAAGTTTGCAAAGTAGTTGCCACTGAGTTGGAAGCTAAATTAGACGAAACTGGTAAAACGCATGATGTCCTCGAAATTGGCTATTCCGTCGACGACGTCTCACCCAAGAGGAAAAAGGAGTACAAGAAATCGTAAATTTCAATAAACCTCAAATAAAATCAGACTCGACGATCGAATAAACATGAAACACCTATTTCTTTTCATCATTTTTAGAGAATTGCGTTTAGTCGAGAGTATGGAAGACGTTTGTGAACGGATACTGGAATATAACATTCATAAGGAACGTACAGACAGCACAAGATTTGCCAAAGGAATGAGCCAAACGTTTAAAACACTGCATACTCTGGTGTAAGACGAAGTTCATATAAATAGAAATAATTCTCAATTTGCAACACTTAAATATATTCATATGTGTACAGGCAAAAAGGTGTTACAGTAGACTTGGGGATGCCTTATGAATTATGGGACAAACCTTCTGTCGAGATCACAACTTTAAAGTCTCAGTGTGAGGATTTACTGGAAAACCATGAGTCTGATATAGAAGATTGGTACCATAATCATCAAGGAAAGATCCCTTTAATCAGGTAACTATACATATCCTTTTCTCCTCACATATGTCACTGACTTAATACAATTATTTAATTTCTATTTTATTAGGTATTTGTGCTCAGAAAGAGCTTTGAAGGGGGGCGATGACTCTTGCCTCAAAGAGAAAGGCGAAACTGGCAGTGATGCAAAAGAAAAGAAAAAGAGAAAAAAGAAAAAGCAAAGTGACGATGTTGAACGGAAGAATGTAAAGGAAGATCTTTAATCTATTAAAAACATGTAAAAAATTCTCTGCTCTTTATATCGAATCCTTTTTAATTTTGTATACATCTAGTCTGTAAATAATACGAATACAAACACTGTCAATTTGCTTATTTAGTTTGAAGATAGCTACGTGATAAGAGGTGCGTTACATTTTTACTGTCAAAATATGTCACTGTACATTTCGTTATTTTTAATCCTAATTTTAAATTCGAGAGAATTCAACGGGGTACTGTTGAAAGGTAAAAGAGCACAGGATGGCCAGTTCCCCTGGCTGATACAATTTCAAACGATAGCACCGTGCGGCGGAGTATTGCTCTCTCCAGACTGGGTCTTAACCGCGGCGCAATGCGTGCAAGACAAGAGAAACGTATGCCATGTTTATTTCATTTTACGATAAGAAACTAATCTATCCAATTTAATCGCGATGCAGTCGATCATGTTGTTCGCAACTGGACTGAACGGGACCGGGTCTAAGCAAACGGTACCCGTGAAAGCGACGTACATATACCCGACTTACGAAGCCTATTCCGTTCTCCCGGATCGAGATCACAACGTGGCTCTTTTGAAACTGACGAAACCGTTCGACATGTGCCCCAACAAAGTCACATTACCGGACGTTCTACCAGTTAACTACAACGACGACGACTACAGACTTTGTCTGATATTCGGATGGCAAAGCTACGTCTCGCTGTCGTCGAAAGTTTTGGCGAAACCGATACACTACGACGTAGTAATTCTTAATTCATGGAGAATGTGTACTTACATGATTAAGACGACTACGAATTATACGAACTTGTTTTGCGCGATGGTTGAGTTTAAGGATGAGATGAAAGCTTGCGCTGGGAATCCTGGTTCACCGGTCGTTTGCGAGAATCAAAACCGCGAGACTGCTCTAGTCGGGATCGCGTCCTGGACTAACTTCTCTTTCGAGTGCGGCGATCTTCCGACTTATATCGATCTCGGTTCGTTCAGGTAATCATTCAAATTCGAGCGGTAGATTGAATTCGTATAAAAATCGTTTACTTCTAATTAGAATATGGATGAGCGAGTTAGTTTTTAATATAAAAAACGCAGAAGAATGGGAACGCAATAAGGAATTAGACGGAAAGAGATGCCCTAATGATACGAATATTAGGCAAAATAGATCTGATCTCTTACGCTTAGACTCGCGAGTTAATTTCAAGAGGAAGAACACGAGAGTACAGTTTCCTAATTCGTCCAGGACGTTGGTAAAGCATCCAGAATCAGAGAATATAAACGACTCTTATCTTTTGAATAAATTCCACCGATCAGCGAACAGTTTTAACAATATCAGTACACCTCCCGATGGTTATTACGAGATGTACGTAGATGTATCGAAAGAAGCTAGTAGCAATATTTTCAAGTACAGAGAAATTGGTAGTTCTCAAAATAACAACCAAGTCGTAGAAAATGTAAAGAACGAACAGTTCACAGTCATGAATAGATCGTCGCTGTGTGATCAACAGTTCGATAAAGTTACGGTGAAACAGAGTACGGAGCAAACAGAAATAGACGACTTTGAACTGCTGCTACCCTTTACTTTTGAAGACGTGGGGGTTTCTCGTTCCAATATCATTACTGTATACTTTAAAGGACTGTATCTATTTATTTATTTCGTATCGTGCTATTTTTATATTATCTACATGCAATGATGCATTGAAAAATAAAAATTATACATCACACTTTTTTTGACGTACATTTATTTAGACGCTTGAGATTTTTTCTCCTGTTTCTTATTTCTAAACGGGGGAGGAATCCACTTCTTTTTTCCGCGAAGTTCTCTTAAACGCTCGTATTCCTCCTTGAAGTCTAGATGCTCGTCTCTGAACAATCCATAATTTCTGAGATGTTTCATCAATAAATCGGTCTCGATGTGCCGTGGATAATATCTAACGATATCGGCTCGCCTATTTACCGGCTTTTCACTAAACAATTTAACGACTTTCATGGACTTGCTATTGGTATTCCTCGTTACCTCGCCGAACACGCGATTACTCAAACGATTCATATGGTTGGCATAACTAGTGCCTACTTTTGCAAGTTCCAAATATTTATTCATTTTCAGATGTTAACGAATGATCTACAGAGGTTGCAAAGGTTAGAAACGATGCGATCTGTAAAATACATATGCAATAATTAAACGTTTAATCACAGCCACGTGCTATCTGATTACGACTCGTATTAGTTAAACGTACACGTTAAAGTTTAGCATTTATCTTGATGCTTTCCACAATGCTTTTTGATTATTTTCAAACTACATTCGCGAACGCAAGTGCTTGTAAAGCATTGCGCAATTGCGCTCTGTCCAATCCCAAGATTCCCAAGTGAACTCTCGTATGAAGAAGTAGCTGCAACAGCGATCAGAGGAAGATACAAGACAGGTCGACGGATGATTCTTGTTTTATTCCTTAGGTCATGAGTTCATTTCTCCTCTACAAGTAAACTTGCTTTGTAGAGCTCAATGAATATAATACATCGAAACCACTCATCTTTCATTTCTCTCGGACCGGATTCTGTTTCACAGCTCCATTCGAAATCCCATTAGGATAAGGGTCAACGATAGAGATTTATTATCAACTCTTCTACGCGGCGCTACTTCTAGAATTCAAATATTCAAATCACTCGTACGAGTGGAAGAAAATAGAAAAATGTTACTTTCTACGCTTTGTACCATCGTTATATCAAAGAGTCGAAGGTTCCAGGGTTGAAACTTGTCTGACTACAAATAGATCTATCTAAATAATCCGAGGATTGCGCTATTAATCTTAATCTCAGAGATATAGGTGTTCAAGCTGTACGAAGAATGTAGTTTTCTGTCAAATAATATACTTGATATCATCGATCTTAAAATAGTCGTCTTTTGAGAAATGATGAATCCAGTTTCTGGGAAGAGTTTAGAGGTCGACTGGAACCGTCCAGATTCTATTCAGGCTGATGCGATCAGGTTTATGGATAACACGTAGACCGATGAAGAATATTCCTTCGACAACAATGATTGAACATATCGGCAGGTAAATTACCAGCAAATTAGATTGCCGAGTTTTGTTGAGGCTTCCGTAAGCGAATCGAGAAACCTAGCAAGAGTCAGCACATCTCACAACTTCTCCGACCTCCGGCAAGGTGAGTAATACTCTCTACTTGCAATATTCGAGCTAGCCGAAACTTCCTGCATCACGTGACCGTGTCCGTTCACCGAAATACGTCTTATCTAAGGTGAGTTACTATTAATCTTCTCAGAATTCGTCAGTAGCTTCTATCAAAAATTTGATTCTGCGAACGAAAGCGCGAAACAATCTTGACAAAGTTCAAACAGTCATAAGAGCGGTCATCGTAATTTCATTCGTCTTTCATTTTATAAATCATGCACTGATCGATTGGGATTGAAAATTGGTAAATGATATCATTTTCCGTGTATCCATCGCAAATTTCTATTAATAGTAACGTTGAACCCTTAAAAGTGCGCGATCTGAGTCAATGGCTACAAGGCGAAATTCGAGAAGCAATAAAGTCAACAATAAACAGGATTACAAGGAATTATGTGTGTAAATAAAAATACATGCAATATTTGTAACATTCGAATTTAAGAATGATCTGAATCATTGAAAAAGTAGACAAGATTTAATCATCTCTTTGAGATGGAATCAGAGGAATTAGGAAAAAGTATTCTGGGTCTCAGATTATTAGAAGGGGCAAAAGGTTGCAACCCCGTGTGTTTTTAGAGGCAAATAATAATAGGTGCACCGTAAGACGTCTTTTACCATACAATTAATCCTTGATTGTCCGACTCGAAACATCTGTTTCCCTTTTTTCTTTAAGGACTACTCATAGAATAGTTCGACAAGTTGATACGTCAAACACGTGATACGTTTATAAATCGTTTCAAATACTGTTTTGTACAGATCGAGTATTTTTATACGAAAAGCGAAACTCGTGACGTTGAAGGCCGAAGCCGTAGAAATCGGCCATCTATTCTGACTCGAACGTGTGTGAAAATTCGATACACGACACGACAATATCGGTCGGTGTGTTAATAAAGCAAGCGATCGACTTTTTTCATTAAGTAATTTGCTGTGAAAGAAGAAAGGAGACAGAATTTATATCTTTTCATCGCGTCGTTGGGCATTGACTCTTAAGAATGCCACCATTTTTCTTGGGACTGATCGAAGAGAGGACCCAGGGACGACACGTGGGGGACCGGACTCGCTTGGGTCGAAAGGGAAATATCGTACGCTTTTTCTCGCAGAATCGAATTTCCCGTGGTCGTGACGTAGGTTTGGTGTTCCAATAACGGGAGTCCACCATACACATATCCGGTTCTATTGATTTTTCGTAGAGGCGCAAGCGCCATTCGGTTCTTATCTGGGAAAAGGGAGGCGCGGCTATAACCATGGATCCCAGTGTACTCGCCAACATGGACAAGGACGCACTGAAGAAGCAGATTGAGAACATGAAGTACCAAGCCAGTATGGAACGATGGCCTCTGTCGAAGAGCATCACCGCGTAAGTGCATTAACCCTTCTTTTTCGGCCGCCTCGCTCGCCCTTTTAACTCCTTTTCCATCCCCTCTAATATATATTTGTTTTAAACAGAGATCCTGAGTTAACTCGGTTTTCATCTTGCAGCTTTATACTCGGTTATCTATTATCCGTTTACACCAAAGTGTACATACGTACGCGTACGTTTGTTCTCTCTGTCGTCTATCTCCAATTCTCATCTCTTTTATCATTGCTCTAGTTTAGAATATTTAAACGATGATTCTCTTGAAATTTCGAATTTTCGAAATCGATGTATCGTTATTGGTACATTGAATCGTTAATACATAAACAATTTTTCCCCGAAGTATAATTTCGTGATAAAATCGATAGCCAAGGGGTCGATGGGTTTAATTCTGTGCGGTGTAGGTGGTCCATGAAATGTTTTCTGTTACTGTTCTAATAATCCCTCTTACCATCCCTTTGTTTGCTGATCACTTACGTATCGTACGTCCTAAATTTTTGTTCAATAAACAGAGCTTAGATACACGTTCCCGTTAGATATGCGTTCGTGATTAAATTTTGAACGTGTACGTGAGACGAGGTATTAGTCAACTAGCATTTCATTCGAGTGAATCAAGTGATACGGTATCATCTATTGCTTAAGTTATTTTTAGTTCCAAAGGTATTTATAGCACATCGTATACTGAATATAACGGGAGTGAAAAGAAGAGATTTTAGATAAAAAGATCGTGGCTCTTCACTAGATTCAGGAATCAAATCAAGCCACTATTGTTACACTAATTATTTCTCCTTGAGTATGAATTTGTCTCTGTCTGTCGGTGAAATTTGATCGTTAGGGAAGGTAAAAAAATTGATTTGACGATCAACAGGTTGAGAAGTCAGTTACTCGTGGCATACGATTGTTTCAACTCGAGTTTCGATAGCAACAGAATAAGGCAAAGGTTTATTTCTTTCTACTTCGTCCAATTTTCATACGTCGGGACGTTAGAGATCGACCTGACGTTTATAGTGATCAGAAGGTTTTCCCACCTTAGCTGCCCACTGTACTTAGAAAGCGAATTCAAGCTATTGTCTCCGGCGTATGAAAGTCGTTTGAACAATATGATCGCTGTAACCGCTTCCTGTATGGAAATGTAAACGGATCGAGGAACGCGAGACATGTACTCACACTTCCAAGTATGATATAAGCGACGATGTAATCATGTTATAACGTTTTACGACTTATAATAAAATTCGTTTATTACTTTAAATTCATTTATCAATTCATTTATCACAATGTTCCTGTAAATGCAAAATTACTGCCGTCTTTGGTTGAAAATCATAATTTATACGAAAC